GGGGGGGGGGGGGAGGATGTCGCGCTTTAGGTTCGGATGGTGGTTCGGATGCGAGCTCGAGCCGTGATATTCGGGCTGCACCGCCTTCGACCGGCGCCGGCCCCTTTTGCGCACAGGCCCACTGCACCTCCACTCGATCTCAACGCACCGGGCCGCCGCCGCCGCCGAATAGAAGAAAGTCCAACCAGCCAACGAAGCCAATACCTCAGCCTGGGCGGACTCGCGTGCGCATTTTTCGCGAACGTTTTCTAATGTCTCGAGTGTCGACCTGACATTAGTTCATTTTTTCCAACAACCCCCACCATCTCTTCTTCCCTTCATATTAATGTCCAGCTCAAGGGGAGCCGCCGCCACTCCGACTACCGCTACCTTAGTCAGAACGGGCTCTCGCATCGCTCAGATGAAGACTCATGCTCAGTCTTAGCTTCGAGGCAACCAAGATGAAGTCCCCTGTCTGGGCTTGCAGAGCGGAGTGCGTGGGAACAATGCAACTCGCTCCCCACCTGTGCCACTTGTGGGACTTGCCTGCCGGTGGGCTGCAGGCAGCATGTGGCCTCATCAGCTCCACGATCTGCGACATCCTCAGGAGAGCTCAGTACGCCATACCTTTCTCTTGGCGATCCATACAGACTGTTGCCACTTCTCCCATCACTTTGATTCGTGACCCAAAGCTGACTTGTCGATCAAGGCCAGCTCTCTCCACTATGCAATTCTTCTTCTTGGTCGCCACAGCCTACGTGCTGGTTGTGGCTGTATCCTGCCAGCCGCTGCTAGATGCAGCCAACGATATCGACGACAGGAGCGGCGCTCGCTGGACTCGCCAGCCGGCCATCGCCAAGCGTGTAAGTCTGCATCGTCAACCGTGCTACTCTCCGCATCACTGACAATTGCATACGCTTCAGAGGGTGGAAGTACTGACCTCGGCGAGAGACATGGTGTCCGAGCTCTTTGCACGTGTGGGTCGTCGGGTTCCCTCTGCCGAGGCGACCAAGCCCGCCGTGGAAGCGACCAGCTGGGGTTCGCTTGCCAAGGAAGAGCTGGCCAAGGCACGCCCTCGCACCGAGCTTCACGTCAAGACCCCCGAGCCCGAGCCTGTACCCCAGCCTCGCATCCCCGAGCCGTTCGAGTTCCGCGGCCCCGAGACGGGATACGGTGGCGATGCGGAGACTCAGCTGCGCGCTCGACTGTACCAGCAGCCTCCGCTCACGCATACCTCGGCACAGGAGATTCGTCAGGTAGCTGCCGAGGCTGCCGCTGCTGCCCATCCCAAGAACCCCGTGCTGGCACGCCTGTCTAGCGCGGAAGCTCTAGTTGCCGCGGGTACCAGTCTGACCATCTCGTCAATTCTCGTGTGGATCATCAAGGGCAACATCGACCGCACCAACGAGGCCAACGCCCAAATCGCCGCCACCCAAGCCCAGGGCCAAGCCGACATGCAGCAGGTTGCCTCGCTCGGAGCCCGGGATTCTAGCAAGATTACAAAGCGCACAGTTGGCGTGGAGAAGCGCAACGCTCGCGTGGCCACGGCCGCATTTGCTACCGCCATGACCGGCCTGGTCCTGTGGAGGGCTGTTGACAACATCAACGATGCGCGCTCACGCTCGAACCAGCGACCGACGTACGCGGCTACCACCATGACGCACTTTCCGAAGTTCCCCATGGCCGGGTGGCAGCTCCATTCGATCCTCGATCAGTGGAACGACGACGATGGCGATGATGGCCAGAAGGAGAAGCACAAGTCGAAGGATGACTCCGAGTACGACGTTCCGGCTGCGGCGTTCAACGTGCCCAAGCAGGCCATCATCGCTTCGAGGTACGCCCTGCACGAGCGTGATCTGCACTCGAGCCCGTCGACGTGGCTTTGAGTGTCGCATCTACCTGGTCAGAGTGTCCGGACGCTCTGGCCCCCGCCGCAGCCCTGCACCTCTTCCACCCACCGTATTTCTCACTCTCGCCACCGTGTCGCTCTAGCAACTGTCCTTTCTCAGCTTCAATCTGATGATCGTTCTCACATTGTTCAGTGACAAAGTGTCGATTGAATTGTATGTGTGGTGGGGGAGGTTGGCGGAGAGGACGCGCGGGAGCTCGCCCGAGAATGCGTTGATTTTTCCGGACTCCATCGCGGGCGAGTCGCCGTCTTTTTGATAACGGCGCGCGGGGAACGATAACACCTCCGTCCTAGCCGACAACTGACCTGCATCTGTCCCGCCCTCTTCTCTTCACGCCCCGGCTCTCACTCCCGTCCAGCCATGCTTGCGTCTCTACCACCATCCTCACAACCCTCAAACACGCTCGACATGGCGCCCGTAGCAGACACCACTTCGACCACCTTTGCATCCGCTTCCTCGTCGGTGGCGCTGTACGTGGTGAATCCGAACAGCTCGACGGTGATCACCTCTGCTCTCGCCGCCTCCCTCGCCGTGCCACCGGGCTGCCACGCAAATTTCGTCACGGGCCCGCCATCCTCTCCCGAGAGCATTCAAGATATCCCTGGCTCGATCATCTCGGCTGCCGAAACGTACCGCTCTCTGGTGGCCTCTTCTCCGTCGGACGAACTGGCTTTGCATCCGGCTGATGCGTTCCTAGTCGCCTGCTTCAGTGACCATCCGCTCGTGGGGATGCTGCGACAGAAATGCCCGTCCAAACCAGCCGTGCACCTGCTCGAGGCTGCGGTCGTACACGCTCTCTCCGCGGGGAATCGGTTTGCCGTGCTCACCACTGGCCGATCGGTGGTGCCGGACGTCGAGGCGGGCGTACGCAAGCTACTGGGCGGCAACAGCGACCGATACGTCGGCACTCACGCTACCGGCCTCGGTGTCGTCGAACTTCAAACAGGCAATAAGGAGAAGGTCGAAGCGGCGATTACAAGCGGCGCGCAAAAGCTCGCAGCAAGCGGTGCGGATGTGATCATCCTCGGCTGTGCAGGCATGACGGGCATGCAGCCGCTCGTGCGCCGAGCGTGCGCTGCGCTTGGACCAGACTATGCAAACGTGGCGGTGATCGACGGCGCCATCGCCGGCATGCACATCCTCGCCGGCCTCGCAAGAACAAACTACCGATCCTAGTCACACTTCCACCTCGAATAAAAGGAAAAGGATCATCGTATTGCGATCAGGCGTGCGCTAGACCCTGTGGAAAGTCAAACACGCTCTGCGGGTCCCATGTGGACTTGAGCTGCTTGAGCCGGTCCAGCGCTGCGCCGTAGTAGGCGTGGGCCCAGTCATCGAGCCTTGCATCGACGTAGTTGACGTAGGCGCCCCAGTCTGCATCGGGTGCGCTCGCCTTGGCTGTCTGTACAAGACTGTCGAATGCCTTCCACACATCCTGCTGCGCATCCGGATCGTCGTTGCTGGGGAAACCGTACGAGTAGAACTGGTTGATGAGCGTCGCACCATGCGCATTGAAACTGGCACTCTCCATCTTGGCCGAGTAGGCCAGCGCGCCCAAGAAGTCAAACGAGATGCTGTTGCCCGTACCTCTCAAGCCTGCATATGAGTTGAGCTCCGAGACGAGTGCGAGTGCCGAGGTGTAGCTGTAGCGCGCCGTGGTGGGCTGGACGAGCGACTTTGCGTAGAACTGTTCGTGCTGCGGTCCTGTGGCCGACAGATTGCCCATGAGATCCGTGAGTGCGTCGATCCAGCTGTCGAACGGCTTGACCGACGTGGTTGCAGGTTGCACCCCGGCACGCGTGTGGAGTCTCGCCATGAGCGCATCGTGCGCCTCGCGCGCCGTGTTGATATGCTGTCCTGCCAGCTGGCATGCATTGCCGTCAAAGTCGCCCGCCGCCGAACCCGCCACCAACAGCTCGCCGCCCAACTCGGCCTGCAGACCGGTGCTGGTGTCCGGATCGTTGCTCATGTCCTGAATCGCAACGATGGCCTTGGCGCAATCCTCATTGGTGGCGTAGGCGTAGTTGTAGTTGAGCGTCTGCGTCGGAGCGTCTTGAAGCGCAAAAGTGAACTGCGTCACCACGCCAAAGTTGTTCGCGCCGCCTCCTCTTAGGCCCCACCACAGATCGGTGTTCTCCTCGGCCGAGACGGTGATGACGTCTGCCTTGCTCGTCACCACCCGCATGGACTGAATGCGATCCAGCAGGAACCCCCACGCACGCGTCGTGTATCCAAACCCACCGCCGAGCGCATGTCCACTCACGCCGACGAGCGGACAGGTTCCATGGGGCAGCGCGAACTTGCCCTGTTCCCAAATCCCCTGCGCCAGCGTGCCGAGTCTCACCCCCGCTCCGACCGCTGCGGTCTTGTTGGCCTGATCCACCTGGATGCCGTCGAGGCGCGAAAGGTCGATGACGACAGACCCGTCTTGGCCTCCGAGCGAGTAGGCCTCGTACGAGTGTCCGCCCGACTTGGGCGAGAGCTTCTGCCTGCCCTCGTGCGCCGCGACGCACTTGACGATGCTCGCCACCTCCGACTCGGTGTTGGGCACCGCCACGACCAGAGGCTTGTACGAGAAGAGCGGATTGTACGACGACGTCAGCGCTGTGTAGTCGCCCGACGATGCATATGCCTGTTCGAACCCGCCGCTGGACGACAGACAGGATTCCAGCGAAGTGTTGTCGGCGCGTGCCATCCAGGACGAGTCGCCGTGCACACTGTACAGCGGGAACGCGGCGCTGGACGACACCAACACCGCTGCCGCCACCGCTGCCGCTGCCGCTCCAAAGGAGATCTTGTTCAGAGTTGGCATCGTTGCGTCTTTGTGTTTGTGTCGGGGGGCGTTGGGAAAGGCAGTGCGGACTATATACCTTTGTTGCGGTCTCTGCCTCGTTCGAGACTGCACCCTGATGAAACCACCTTCACCCACGCCCCGTGTGTAGGTGGGCTGTGGGCGTGGGCGTGGGACATGGGCGCGGGATCGCAACTGCCGGTTGGTTGGCTTGGCGCAAGCAATGAACGTCATGCCGAGCGGCGGCGGCGGCGGCGGCGGCGGCG